TCCAGTACAACATTAGGTATATCCATTTTGTGTTCAGATGTCCCTTATTCTTATAAATGTTGTTGCCTGTGGCTGGATGATTTACATAGCATTCAGACGTTTTACACATCGTATTTAGTTGGCATGTGTTTACCCATGTAGTCCCTTTAACCTGTAGGTTCTCTTTACAAATCGGGACTTTTTTTATTGTTGTTCTTAAGAATACCCCACATTGTGCATTTTGCTGCTGTCCCATGGTGTCTTTTAACATACTGTATTCTTTCTCTCCTTTAAATTTCTTCTAAGCCAGGAAATAAATCCAGAGGCTAGAGCCTATTTAGAATTCTTTTCATTGTTCTTAGGAGTCTTTGTGGCTGGTGCTGTACAGTTCCTGGTGTAGCCTGTCAGGAAGAGCATGTCTGCTTGGAGATACTTTTTTTTTGCCATTGAATTGATCACTAGATTTAATTGTTTTCAGCCCTGACTTAGCCATTGTGAAGTTCCCCATCAACTTTTTCCTAATAGTTTTATTTAGCAGCTGACGATAATTATTGTCTCTATTAATTCATTAAGGCTTATAACATTTGAAATACTTTTATAATAATTTTTATTCTTTCGGCATTTGCTAGCTGGAGTTTCTGAGTAATGGATAACTTCCTGTTGTAATTTCTTTGGTTGTCATTAGGTACATAGTTTATGGGCAGTTACGTGGTTGCTTCTGGGAGAGTTTGAGAGTAAAGATGTGATCCTCTTAATTTTTTCTGAAGTGAGAAGTAGGGTGTTTTCCCCTTCCTCCTGAGAATCAGTATTAAATGTGTGAATTTTGACATTTTCACTTAAAGCTTAGAATTAAAATATCTCGTTTTACAAATTTATGAAACTTTTAGAAGTCTGGTGGATTTTGATAGACATTGCACTTGGTTGAATTTGTAGATCAATTTAGTGAGAAAATGACATCTAAATAATACATGGTTTCCCAATCCATGAATATGGTCTACTTTTTAGATTGAAAAACTGTATATCAATAATGATGTATAAGCTCAGCATATAAATCTTATACGTATTTTGTTGTTTGGATTTAGTCCTAAGTATATTATGTATTTGGTACTATCACAAATAGTATTTTTAAAATTCCAGTTTTTCATTGCTAGTATAGAAGTACAATTACTTTTTTTATACAGACTTTGTATCTTGTGAGTTTGCTAAACTCACTTCGTTTTATTAGTTCTCCCACCACTGCCCCTGATTTCATTCTGACTCCCAGTGACCCGATAGGACAGAGTAGAACTGCCCCTTTGGGTTTCCAAGCTTGTAAATGTTTACTGGCGTAGACAGCCTTAACCTTTATACCAAGGACGGCTGTTGGGTTAAAACTGCTGACTTTGCAATTAGCAGCCAACTTCACCACTATGTAAATGCTAGTAAAGACAGTTTTACTTCTTCCTTTCCAACGTTTCTCTGTTTTTTCTTTTTCTTTTCTATTTCCCCTTGCTTTACTGCAGTGAATGGTACCTCCCATGCAGTGTTGAATAGGCATTCTCTTCTTGTTCCCAATTGAATAAAGGAAAACTTTCCGTTTCCTGCCCCTGCCTCCCCCACCTTCCTCCTCCCTGACCCCCCCCCCCACACACACACACACAGACTGGTAACCAGCAGCAGGACCCTTGGCCCAAGCCGGTTTCCTGCTCCTCCCCCAGGGACAGATGGCGTTTGCTTCTGTCCCTCTCTTCCCTCTGGCATTGGACCTATTCCTGGAATCCGAGGGTTCACTGGCCATCCTCCAGCCACAGGCTGCTGTTGCGTGTCACTGGGTACAGGCTTATGGTGGGAGCAGAGGAGGTTCCTCCTCCTTGTTCGTCAAAACCAGTTTTGCTTCCCCTCCTTGCTCAGTGCAGGCTCCCTTTGCCAAGCACCCTAGCAGGAGGGTTTCCTGACCCTTCCAGCAGCATACAGGTTCGGTTTCTCATAAGAAAAAGGAGTTGAGTATTGCTGCTTGCATTTCCTGCTTGCTAGTGAGTGTGGACTCTGGTGTCTGGGGCTTGAGTACCAAGTACTTTAGTGCTGGGTAACCTACATGTGACCCTTAAACTTTCAGCTGATTTGTTCGGGCCCACTTTTGGGGCAGCTGTCTCTTCCTCTCATGCTACTCCACAGACAAAACCAGGGCACCCACCCCCGTCTTTCCTTGGAGAGACGTGGCACCACTTGTGATCCACTTCACCTGGTCAGCCACCTTCCTGTCTTAACGCTGGTAGGCTTAAGATACTGATAATTCTGTGGATTATTGATCTTTTCACATAGATTGTACATGGAGGTTTTGTCTTGTAGTATTCCGCATCCTAAGTGGAACTGGAACATCGGGACATGCAAATCTTTTTTCCCTTCAGATTTTAAAGCTTTTTATTTGAAAATTTAAAACATTGTACATCCCAATAATTAAAATCATTTGAACAACAACAACAACAAAAAATGCCCTCCAGTTAACCTGCTTTCAGGACACCGAGGACCACTGTGCCTTTATTCTCTCTGGTTATCCCGTCGTCGACCCAGCTCCTCCCATCACCAGCCTGCAGGGCCTTCTCCTTCCCTGCCAGCCAGGGCGTTCTCAATTCTTTGCTGTGAAATGGGGCAGTGTGATCCAACCCTTTTGCATCTTACGAAGCGAAACAGCGGAAAGAAGGAAAATTAGAAGGCGATGTTCGTGGAATGACAGTGTATATTGGCGGCATCTCCTCGTGACAGTTGACCCACTGTCTTCTCAGGTTCGATCGTTTCTTTTGAAGACAGTGGATTTTTCTGTTGCGTTTCCGTCTCTTCTGTTTTAACTTAAATTTCTCAGTCTCAGCCATGTCAGGCTTGTCAAGACATAGGTATGGAGGAAGCAAGAGAGCTATGAGTGGACTCTGTGTGCACTGTGGCCACCACCAAGTCCAGGCAATTATTATTTTTTTTTGTGAGCCCCCATGCAATTCTTTTTAATCTGTCTACTTTCTTTCCAAATCTCAGTCCTTCCTTCAGTCCTGAGTGCTGCAGACAGTTAAGCGTTCAGCAACGAACCACAAAACTAACAGTTCAAACCTACCCAGACGGCCCTCTGAAGAAAGACTGGGCAATGTAATTGAACTCACTGCCATGGAGGTCTGACTCAGCATGACCCTAGGGGCCGGGGAGTACGGACTCGGTGGGTTCCCAAGACTACAACTCTTATGGGAGCAGAGAGGAGCCTTTCAGCGTTCCAGCACCTAGAATAGCATTCTTTATGTGTTCCATTTCACTTCTAATGATGTGTGATTTTCCTAGGGTCATACTTTGTACATTCCAAGTTCTAACTGTTAGTTGATGTCTATAGCCATTTCTTCTCAGTTTGCGTCATGCCCCACCACCAAGGCTCTGCTCCCAGAGGCTTTACTGCGTCTGCACCATGGCTGAGCCTCCTTTGAGATTGTGCTGTACACGAGGTCTTCAGGACTTACTTCCTCCAAAGTGGGAGTCAGCCCCTTCTTTGTTTTCTGTACTTAGTCTGGACTCTGCTGACACCTCTTCACTGTGGGTCACCCTGCGGTCAGAGAATACCAGAACTGTGCTACTTGTATTTCATTGACTAAGCCAGGACATGTGCCTGTCCCCAGATGGAACACACAGAAATAAAATGGCCTCTCTGTGACAAGCGATGGTGGAGAAGCTCACTAAAGTTAAAAATTAGGTCATTGGTCAACAAAATCTAAAAATCTGAGACTGAGAGTTATAAATTAAAAGTCTTCAATGCAGGAATTACAAGGGGATACGTCACAAAACAGGAATTTTTTTCCCAAAGCTGTGTATTTAAATTTTTTTACAAAACAACCTATCACCTTCAAAGTACTCTCCATTACACTTAATACATTTGTCAAATCTGCGATTCCATTCTTGGAAACATTTTTCAAACTCATCTGTTTGGATGGCTGACAGCACCTCCCTTGTTTTTTTTCTTCACCTCTTCTACGTCGTCAAATGGCTGTCTTTTCATGCCCTTCTTCATTCTCGGAAACAAAAAAAGTCACGTGGAGTGAGGTCAGGTGTGTGGGGCAAGAGAGGCACGCTGTTTTTTGCCAAAAACTGGTGCAGTGCATGAGCAGGTGCATTGTCATGATGGTAAAACCATTCCCCTGCCTGCCACAAATCAGGCCTTTTTGGTCACACACTCTTTCTTACACAATCTTTTCAGAACCTCTAAATAGAAAGGTTGATTAACAGTCTGACCTGGTGGAATGAACTCCAAATGTATTACGAGTGGATATTTTCTTCTGTTCAGGAAGTTGACAGACATCCACCTTTTGAAACAAGAAAACCGCTGGTACACTTGAGTTTTTCCCATAGCGCTGTCCTTGTAAGCTGTGTTCAACATCACAACAGTTTCTGCGCCTTTTTTCCCAAGCAAGAAAGAAAATTTCACAGCCCTATGCTGTTCTCTTAAATTGGTCATCACAAAAAACAAGGTTTGAGTGAAACTGCTTTTATGAAGAAAATTTACTGTAACCAGAGAGATCCTTCCCACCTGATGCCACTGGGTGCACTAACTCAGAGTGAGTTGCTCGATGCTCACCTGGGGGCAGCGGGGGGAGGGAGGCATACTATGAAATCTCCACCCAGCAGGATTTTTCCCATTTTTGCTTTTGTTGTGGTACCTCCTCATGTGTTGTTGTCTTTGCGGTTACTCTAAGCACCTAGAAAGGAGTGATGGTAGTGCAGAGTTATGGGCTGCGGAGCTTCCCCATGGGAGAAGATGTGGCAATCTTCTGTAAGGATTTCTCGCCTTGGAAGCCCCTGTGGGCAGTTCTGCTCTGTTCTATAGGGTCACGGGGTTGACATGATTCAGGAAATACAGGGAGATTGGCTTGTGGTAAGCCAGTAGAAAAGCATTACACATTGCAGTCCTTTTAAGTTTTAAACAAATAGTTTCTCTTCATGGTTAAACATTTATTAAGATAGCCTAATCCTGCAATTTGGAAGTTCATTATATTTTTCGTTCTTTCCTCTCCCAGCTTTTATCTCTTCTTTTTGAAGATTTATTCAAAAAATTTAATTCTGAAATGAAGAAGATTGCAGACCAGGTGATTCCTAAGCAAAGAGCAGCCCAGTTTGATGTTGTGAAGCACATGCGTCAAGACCAGATCACCAACGGCATGGTGAACGCCATCTCCACCGTAAGCACTCAGCCATTTCCCCGGGGCCTGGACGTCGCTGCCAGATCCCTCCAGTGAGGTGGGAACTGAAGAGTACTTTGAGAGTGTAGGTGGGGAGATAAATTGATATATAAAGGAGGTTTACGGATCACAAATTGTCCACTTTAAAAAGTAATTTACAATTTACATGTTAAATTTATAAGGATTTTACTCCTATAGTAACTCCATTGCCAATTCCTAGTTCCCACTGTAACAGGCAAGAAGAAAACATCCATTTGCACAGAAGAATCTTGTAGTGCAACCATGAATAGCTATTTTTCTAAAGGACAACTCTCCCGCCCCACCCCGTTCTTTCTCCTTGTCATGAAATTGACATATTGCAAGCAGGTTTATTAGTCGGCAACATTCGTATAAGACAATAGAAATCGTTTCATTTTGCCCTAGGTTTGTGTTCTTCAAAGGGCTGTCAGCTGATCTTCACGTGAGCTGTGAATTCATTCTCAGCAGCTGCTGGGTGGTCAGGGCCTCCGGGTATTCATGAAGGGTTATCAGATAGGTTTTGCTCCTTTTTTTATAAAAAGCATAGCAACTATAAGTTTATCTGATGGCGCCGGTTCACTTTTTGTATGCTAGAAATAAAATTAGTTTTATAGATGGGATTTTGCCCCAACAAAAGACACGCATAGTTAGTGTAACACAATGATTCTCTTAACAATGAAAGACTTAGTGACAGACTGACTGCAAACACTTGACATTAGAAATGGACAGTGGCTCTCTGTGCACAGCCCTGAAAGTGACAGCGCCATCTAAGCTGAGGCGAACTACGCCATTGGGCCGAGTTAGGCCCATTAACCTCTTGTGGCCCACGCTTGTCTGAAGACAGATTCCTGCACTTTAAAGAGAAGCCTCTGAAGCGTGTGGAGCTGACGGTCATCAGAGCGGCTGTTCCTCGCTAGCCCGTGATTTCTCAGGTCCCCTGTGCTGTTTGAGCCCTTCTTTTTGCCCCTCAATGGCCCTGCTTTACTTCCCAGAAAGCACTGCTTATTAGAAAACCAGGGGTAGGCCTTGTTGGAAGGGTACCCCAATATACAGGCCACTCAAGCAAGAACCACCTTTATAATTCGGCCAGGGTTGCCATTAGGAGAATTCTTTCAGCAGATGGACTTTCTCAGAGTGGTGTCTCATAGTGCCCTCTACTCTCCCTTTCCAAGCCCCCTTGCAGAGGTTGTTCTGTGGCTGAGCATCATGACCTCACGCACCGTCCACCTCTTTCTTGCCAGCCTCCTGCTGCCTTATTTTAGCTCTTGCTAAATATTTACCCAAGTGCCCTTCTTCTCACTCTGTGGGCATAGGTCAATCTGCTGGGTTCATTCTATCCTGAACACAGAAGGAGCAAACTGAGCCAACAATAAAGGAAGATTGGGGGAATATCTTTGTTCTCTGTTTCTTCGCTTTGCAGTGGCCAGTTCGTTCGTAGATGTTAGCTCTTAAGTTATCCAAAAAACCAAAAAAAAAATCAAGGTTCTGAAGTGATAGGTCTTCTTCGTCATAATGAGAAAACTAATCTGGGGGAACATCCCCCTAACCTCCCATATTTTAACTCAAACAGATCTCTCAATCATCTTCTGAAATCCTAGCTACTTTTTCCTAGTGCAGGCAGTCTTGACACCGAGTGGGGAAACGCTCACGGTCTTGTGTGTATTGCTCTCGGGAGATTACGCACAGCCTTCGTCAGCTTCTTGAGAGAAAAACGAAGAACCACTGTTCAAAGCAGAACAAGTCGATCATTTGGGGGCATTTTATTGTCTGCATTGGCTTTTTTATGCGTACTGTTTTCTACTGTTACCATAAATTAAGACTTAGAAAAAAAAAATCGTATCCATATTAGTCATTACATTATCACTGAGAATATTACTTTATAGATCATTTATGTAACACTGTTTAACAATATATTTAATGTATAGAAGATACAGTACATTTAACATTCAAGATTTATTTTCTGTGCATTTCTTTTAAGATTGACATGGTAGCCACAGAGAATTAATGGCATTTCTTAATATTAGTCCATATCCAATGTTTAGATCTGTCAAGCCTCAGTTTAGCTTACCATGTACTCTGTGTCCCTAGTAACCGCCTTCATTTATTTTATTACAGCTCTATTTTTCTCTAGTTATGACTAAGTGTGAAGGACATCTGAGTAAGAGCGCAATTGGACATAAATTGATCTCACCGGTCTTCAAACTAGTTATGTCGTACAGGAAAGTAGAAATTGCTTATGTTCTGGTAGTTTATGGCTTCCAGTAAACATCTGTTGATTGAATGGGCTTGTTCAGGGTGTGATTAAAATCCTCAAAACTCTCTGCCATCGAGTCGAGGTGTCTAACTCGTCGTCACCAACTAGGACATAATAGAAAAGCTCCTGTGGGTTTGTTTCCCAGGCTGGAAACCTTCATAGGAGCAGAAGGTTCCTGCTGTCTCCTGGGGAGCAGCTGGTGGTTTTAAACTGCTGGCCTTGTGGTCAGCAGCCCAGCATGTAACCCACGCCTCTGCCAGTACTCCACAGGATCTGATTGGTTCCTCAGAAAGTGACTACAGTGAACCCTCGCCACTTCGCGCTTCGACGTCCGCGGCTTCACTCTATCGCGGTTTTTGCGTAACAGCAAAAACAGTCATTACTGCCACTGATTGGTTCATACTGTACACGCTTCTGTCTGCATCGCTACGTATCGGAGCTACGTATCAGGTGCATTTTTGCTTTTGTAAGTGTACTGTAATTGTTTGCGATTTTTAAGAAATTTTATCTAAGCCCTATGATGGCTCCTAAACGAGCTGCTTCTTCTAAGCCTTCTGACAATAAAAATAAGCGCCAGAGGAAGATGCTCACCATCCAGGAAAAGGTAAAACTTTTGGATATAAGGAATCCTACTTCGCGGAATTTCATTTATCACGGTAGGGTCTAGAACCGATTAACCGCGATAAACGAGGGTTCGCTGTACTCTGATAGGACAAAGTGTGGTGCTGCGTAGCGTTCTGAGATGGTGGCTGGGTGTTGTGTGCTGCCATCAAGTCCTTTTTGGCTCAACGGGACCTCTTGTGACAGAACTGTCCCATAGGATGTTCTGGACTGTAATCTTTTCTTTCTTTCCTTCTTTTTTTGGACTATAATCTTTACAGAAAGCAGATCTCTACTTCTTTCTCCAAGGGTCCTGTGGATGGCTCCGAACTGCCAACTTCTGAGTTGACAACAGAGCCCTTAACTATGTGTGCCACCTGGCTCCTTTAGGTGGTTGCTAGACTTACATGTGGTGTGTCAAGTCTTCTGGCTCCTAGTGACCCTATCTATAGCATTCATTGAATTCCTAGAGCACTCCTCCAGCAAATGACCCGGCACAGTTTAATTCCCCTCCCCCCTCTTTTCCAAGTATATTGAAGCAGGGACACACTGAAAAATTTTAGCTATCGCTTTCTGAATTTTCACTCATACACACTTGGATACATTTTTATTTGAATTATAGCATTTTGAGTATATATGATGGCTCTGATTTCATAAGCCGCTCCCACATTGAGATTCAGAGCCCTGGTCATTTAGTGGGCTGTTGGGTGGGTTGTTACCACAAAGTCAGCTTCTCAAATCCACAGCCATTCAGAGAGGCGAGACAGTGAAGAGTCACAGTCTTGGAACCCCTAATGAGCAGTTCTCCTCCGCCCTGCCGGCTCTCTGTGAGCTGGAATCGTTTGCTGGCAGTGGGGGCCGCTCAGTTTCTCAGAGTAACTAGAGTGCGGGCAACGTTTTGAATGCACTAAGGGTAGTCCCAAGGCTCTCTCTTCTCTCCACAGGGAAATTGGTCTCTGAAGAGATTCAAAATGGACCGCCAAGGGGTGACTCAGGTGCTGTCTCGGTTGTCATACATATCTGCGCTGGGCATGATGACAAGAATCTCTTCCCAGTTTGAAAAAACAAGGAAAGTGAGTGGGCCGCGATCCCTCCAGCCATCTCAGTGGGGCATGCTCTGCCCTTCGGATACTCCTGAGGGAGAGGTAAGGGACCCGAGTGCCTTTGTGTTCTGTCAGAGACCATACCCACTGGGGGGCTGGGGGCATTGGTGTGTGCTCCTCCATCCCCACCCCAGTCATGGTCTTTTGTGCGTTCCCCATTTCTCAGGCAGAGATGGGTCCGTGCATCATCCTGTTAAGACTACATCAGGGCTGCCCTGAAGCCCATTCCTCCCGAAGCACTTGGAGGCAGTAGCTTAACCTGAACAGAAACACGACCCACCTGTCTCTTGCTTATTTAGTTTATCCCAGGACTCAAACCATGCGGTGAGGGAGGTGAGATTGGACAGGAAGTCTCAGAGACCCATCACCATTGATGCTTGCAAGGAATTTCCTCGAGCAGCGTCTGCGTTTCATTTGTTGTCTTTAGAGGCGGCCTCAGACAACAGCAGGGAGCTCCAGAGCAAAAGTGGATTCAGGCGCATGTTTATAGGAAATATAGCCAGAATGTACTGCCACCAAGTCAGAGCAACCATGGGACAAAGTAGAGCCACCCCAGTGGGTTTCTGAGACCGTACATCTCACGGGGGAAGGGCTGTGGTAGAGATCTGTGGTGTGGTCATTGCTGACGACTGTTGTGCTGCGCTGCGCTGCGCATCTCTGGCTGGAGCCTTAACTTGCCATCTTAGCGTGCCCTCCTCTGGGCAGCGCTTCTGGGAGACTCACACACTCCTCAGGCTAGGTGTTTATGCTGCCACCAGCACAGTGGTGACTTAACTATTTTCAGATACTTTGTGTTACTAATGCCCCTCCCTTTTGTCTGTCAGGCTTGTGGTTTGGTTAAAAACTTGGCCTTGATGACACACATCACAACTGACATGGAAGACGGGCCCATTGTTAAATTAGCCAGCAACCTGGGAGTAGAAGATGTCAATTTATTGTGCGGAGAAGAGCTCTCTTACCCAAACGTCTTCCTTGTCTTCCTCAATGGTGAGTGTATTATTGGGACACATGGATCCTTTGTAACCTGGGGAGCAGGTGGTGCATCAGCCAGCTCGTTATTGTGCCCTGAAGACTGGTCTTCAGTGAGCCTCTCGAGTCCTCGCGCTGGACTATGCAGTGAGGGCCGTAAGAACAGTGTCAGCGGCAGCGGCAGTGGAGCTGCTAGAACAGTGGTTCTCAACCTTCCCAACGTCACAACCCTTTCATACAGTTCCTTCAGAGAATGACACTAAACCTTCAGGTGGGGGAAAGGAACTGACCCACCATACCCGGACAGAAGCAGACCAAGAAGGAAAAAGAGAAAGGGGCAGGCGGCCTAGACACTCCATATAGGCACACCAATCCCAGAGGAGGAGGTCCCTGCATGGAGCTGCTGGGGCACAGAGAGGACTGTGGGACTACCAAGAACTCAACACACGGTGTCCCCTAACTGGAGCATATGGAGACAGGAACAATAATGGGCACACACGGCAGGGAGACAGTGTAGGAATGGAGCATAACAGATCAGCAATTGGAGTTAAGCCGAGCCACAGAGCCCCGAGGAGCCCCAAGAATGGACTTCAGGGTATGAGGGGCAGCCCTCGGATCTCCCTCAGGACCAGGGGGGAGGGTCTCATGGGGCCAGCAAACAGACCTGGACCTATGTAGGGGTACTTTTGTGTGTTTTCTCTTGTCTTTTTATATTTTTCTTTCTTCAACCATATGTTTTCTTATTTTTCGGACTAGGACGTTGATGGTTTGCCTAATTATATGGGTTGGAAAATGGAAGGGAAGCTCGGGGAGACAGCAGTGGGGCTAATGGTCCCGGAAGGCAGAGGGGGAAGAAGGAGGTGAGGAGAAGGGTGTGGTGAGCGGACAGCGTCATGGATGGGGAACAACTAGGGAAGCAGAACCGGTATCTAGGAGTGGGTAGAGATCCTGTGAGTATTAGAGCAACACCAAGCTAGTGGAGAGGAAGCACTAAGAGGGGGAAAGTGATGGTGGGGCAGGAGGAGCAAAAGGAAACAGAGGCAAGCTCTAGGAAGCAAAGCCATAGATAGGGAGGTCAATAGAGGTCTGCACTTATGTAAATACATTAATCCATAACAATAGAGGTATTGGCCTATGTACATATATTTATAAGGCAATACACCGAGGCTGTAGACAGACCTTGGGCCTCCGCTCATACCTTCCCTCGATACAAGACACTTTGTTCTAACAAATCGGCATTCTGTGATGCTCCTCCCACCCCCACCCCACACACGATCGCTGAAGACAAAATGGGTGCATAAGCAGATGTGGTGAAGACAGATGAGGGTGCCCAGTTATGACAAGATAGAGTGTCTTGGGTCTTAAAGGCTTGAAGTTAAGCAAGCAGCCATCCAACAGTGAAGCAACAAGCTCACATGGAAAAAGCACACCAGCTGGTGCGATCGTGAAGTGTCATCGAGACTGGGCAACAAGCATCAGAATATTCACAACAAACAGTAAACAAGTAAACAAAAATGCATTGGTGAGAATGGATGGGGGGTTGAAGCAGAGACTCAAATCCCATCTATGGACAATGGAACATCCCCCCACAGAGGGGTCGCAGGGAGGGGGTGAGTATCAGGGTACAGTAGAGCACTAATGGGTCACACAATATACCTCTGATCCCTTGAAGCCTCCTCACCCCCCACTATCATGACCCTAGTGCCGCTTCCCACTCTAGACTAGACGGGAGCATGTGCATAGGTATAGGCAAGAGATAAAACTCACAATACATGGCACCCAGGAACAGGAATGGGACTAGAGATACCAAAGGGTAGGGGAAAGTGGGGGAGAGGTGGGGAGGGAAGTTGGGACACAATGAATGGCACATAACCACACCCCCCCCACCCAGGGAGAGGAGCAACAGAAACCAGAGGGGAAGGGAGACAGCGGTCCGTGTGAGTTTGGAAATAATTAACTATCTATCTATCTATCTATCTATCTATCTATCTAATCTAATCTATACAGTTCCTCATGTTGTGGTGACCCCCCAACCATAAAATTATTTTTGTTGCTACTTTATCACTGTCATTTTGCTACTGTTATGAATCGGGCAACCCCTTGAAAGGGTCATTCGTCCCCCCAAAGGGGTCACGACCCACAGGTTGAGGACCGCTGTGATAGTGTCAGGGGAAAGCCAGGCCATCTGGCCCTTGCCTTTGTGCTCCTGGCACCAAGCTGATGGAAAACAAAAACGAGGCTCACCTGCCTGTGTTCCTATCCAGCGTGTGATTCGGTGGGCCCCAGACTCCGGCCCCTTGGGCCCCTTCACCACTTACTGTCTTATTTTGCTGTTTCGCAGCGGGGCGGTAGGCGCTCATAACATATTTTCAAAGGACTACTCACTACTGTTTATACTTTTGATCGGGTAAACATTTCAGACCCGATCAGTTTTATTATCGTTTCACTTGCGTGTGCCTAGGCAACATCCTGGGTGTCATTCGAGACCACAAGAAGCTGGTGAATACATTCCGACTAATGCGGAGAGCCGGTTATATCAATGAATTTGTGTCCATCTCAACCAACCGTACAGATCGATGTGTGTACATCTCCTCGGATGGAGGGAGGCTCTGCAGGTATATGTTGTGAAGAATTTTTAAAGAATCTGTTTGGAAATTCTTATTTCTATTTTGTGGCTGTTTGAGCCTCTTTCGTGGTGAAAAGACATTTAGTTCTGTTAGCAAATGCTTTACAACTATGCCTACTAGGGAAGGAGCCCTGGTGGCCTAATGGATTGTGTATTGAACAGCTAACTACAAGGTCAGCAGTTCGAAACCATCAGCTGCTACAAGCGAGAAAGAGGAGACGTTCTGCTGCCATAATTATTTATAGCCTTAGAAATCCATCAGGGGCAGTTCTACAGTGACCTATAGGGTCGTTGTGAGGAGGCATTAACTCGATGAGAATGAATTTGGTTTTGACTAGGTACTGAGGATTCAGAGTTTGACAGGAGGCAATCTTGGCTCTCAGAGAGCGCAGAGGCAGAAGTAATGACTAATGATAGTCAACCATGCAAATAATAAATGATCACGACTATTTGTTATCTTTATAGAAGTACTAGAGGTGAAGCATTAGCTACATACACTTCAACTCTGTGAGATTAGAGTGACTGGTTTCATTTTTGCACATGTGAAAATGGGGTTCCGGAGGAAATGTACTAGATCGTGGTGGGACCTGTTTCTTCTTTAGAAGTCCTTTGCATTTATCTGACTCCAACGATCGTGATTTTATGAACTGAGCATTAAAGGATGGGCAGGATTACTCTGCACAGATAAAGAGGAAAAGGAAAATGAGGAACGGCAAGAATAGAAACTTGGAGGCATGAAGAAGTAAATGAACGTTAGACCCCAGAGAAAAGTAGGATCCCTTTATTCTTTCGGCAAATATTTATGCAGTAAATCAAAATTCATAAAGTATCAGGACTTACAGTGCATAGATACTGTTTAGAAGCAGGGGCTTACAATGATGAAGATAACAGTATCTGGCCTTTGAAAATCTTCAGAGGCGTCCATTGGGGGCAACCCCTTGCATTCTAAGTGTGTCTAGGTATGGTAGATCTTGGGTGAGGAGCAAGACAGTGGGCTGGCAGTGGAGACAGTAAAGGCCGGAAGAGCCCTCTTGCTTGGAGCTCAATGTGAGATAGGCTTGCCATTGCCTGTGCCTCTCCTTCTGCTAACCAGGCCTCATGTTCCTTGGGGGACTGTTCTTGTTGAGAGTCTCCTTGAGATGGTCAGCCAGGTGTCCCTCCTCCTCAGCGAAGAGTCAAGCATACATTTGACCCATGTGAGGCCAGTCCAGTTCTCTACCCAGAGAATCTGAATCCCAAAAAAGATTGCTCACAGCTGGGAAACGGTTGGAACCAATTCATCCTGACAGTAGCGCTAAGTGAGGCTTGTACTGAACTTCTCTTCCTTTGTGGCTCCTTGGGGCTCTCTCCTTTCTTTCCTTTCTGAGACTGAGCACTTCACCGTTTGCTTTGAGTCTGTGAACTCTCCCATTCTTAGCCTTCTACAAATTCCACTTTTTGCTCAAATTAGCTAGCCTCCTTTGCCACTGTGTATTTCCCTGAATACACGAGGATGGTTGTGGAAGAAAATCCATTGTCTCTTCATTTCAGTTTCACACGAACGTCCTGAGGCCCTCTTGTCTCACCATGTACACTCAAGCATAAGCCAGCCCGACTATCAGCTGAGGCACCTAATTATATCACAAACTGCATTTAAAATGAGCTGAAAAACTCAGCTATACTCGGATATATATGGTATTTAGATCTCTGAGCCTTGGTTTCCTTGCTGGTAAAATGAAAAATGATAATATTTAACTGGAGTTGTTATGAAAAGTAAGTGGCATAAGAGGTGCTAAGTGCCTGACCACTAGGTGCTTCATTATAGCTATTAACAAATGGTCCAATTAAAGGAGGGAAACAAGAATGGATTTTAGCTTACTTTTAACTCTTTAATGTACTGTTTGTTGTTTCCTTGTTATTGTTGTTCGGTGCCCTTGAGTTCGTTCCATCATCAGAGCAACCCATTGTACAAGGAAATGGAATACTGCCCAGTCCTGCCCCAGCTTCCCAGTGGGCTTGTGTGGGAGCCCCTGTGTCAGTCCATCTTCCCGAGAGTCTTCCTCGGTTCTGCTGACCCTCTGGTTTACCAAGCAGGATGGCCTTTTCCAGAGACTGGGCTCTCATGATAACCTGTTCATTATATTCTGCGTAAGATGACAAGATGGAGTGATACTGTGGCCGCGACAATGGGCTCAGGCACAGGAACAGTTGAGGACAGCGCAGGACCGGGCAGTGTTTTGTTCTATTATCATGGGGTCACTATCAGACCTGATTCATTGGCACTTACTAACCCCACCACCATGGCAGATGGAAAAGTGAAGGTAGGAATTATTTTCCAGCAATCCTTGTGTACAGGCGTCCATAGACCCTGCAGGAAGAATGAGTGGAGCATGTTAGTGAAGGAAAGGACAGTCCAGCATGCTCAACATGCCCAGGCCCTGGTGGCCCTCCTTACTGCCGAGCTACCCAGCCTGGGCGGGGCTGTGGCCCTGGAGTGAGGCAGCAGTATTGTCTGCTTCCCCATTACGAAGCAGACCCTCTTCTGCTTGGTGATCGTCAGCAGCTGACTCTGAAGACCCCCCAAAGGCCAGATACCATGTTACCACCATCATCACAGCTCCCAGCATCTAGAGGGTATCTGCACTCTAAGTTCTTGCAGGAGATGTTGATTTTCCTAAGAAGTTAGCCCACTACATCTCTCAGCAGCTTGTGCCCCTCTTTGGTAATTTCACAGCTCCCCTCCCAGCTGGGTAGAAGGCTCGTTAGTCTCCAATTATCAGGACTTCAGGGAAGCGTGCACAAGTGTCTTGTGGTCATTGGTCCACTCTATCCAAGCTGCTTATCTAAAGAGCAACAGCCTGTGATGGTCCACTACTCCCTGCTGGTTGGTGGTGAGGCCTCAGAGCGTCTGGTCACCAGTGAGTTACCAGCCAGTCTGACGGAGCCCGGTACAGTGCCAAAGCAAGAACATACGAGAGCCTCTCTTTCTGGTCACCTGTGGTCCATGGCTGAGTGACCCATCAGGTCTAGTCCAGTGATGCCAATCTACCATCAGAGCAGTCTGACCAGTTGGCTCTTCTTTAGACTGTCACTGCAAGGCACCATTGTCACATGATTAACCCCTGGCTGGTGTACCTGATATTCCCCGTGTGGAATCAGGAAATACATTTGCTATGATGCAGCCACATTTTAAAAGATGTGACATTAAAGTTTTTGTTTCTTCTCTGCACTTTTCTGAGCACCCCCCACCCTTTTGTTGTGAATAGGAAGGTTTACAGAGCAGATCATAGTTGTATATCTAACAAGTCAGACATACTTTGTTTCAACTCACCCATTAAACCTTGATGAACCATGATTGATCCCCATTTCTCCTGTGTTATTCTTGGGGAAATGTTGCCCCTATGACTTTAAGTGGTAAGTTCTTCTAACACGGAGGCTTCAGACCTGAAGAGTTACTAGGGGTCATGGTCTCGGGAGTCCCACCAGTCTCTGAGCAGGGACCTGCTCTTGTTTATGATTCTGAGTTCTGTCCCACATTTTGCTCCCACTCTATCCAGGACCTTCCAATGTGATCCTTTCAGCACGGTTGGTAGTGGTAGCTGGGCACCATCTAGTTCTTCTGGTCTCCAGGTTTAGAGACTGATGTTTGTGTGGTCCATTCATCCATTAGACTACTTGCTTCCACGTCGGTCAGTCGTCTTCACTCTTCCTGGACAGGCCGGGGAGAGACTAAAAGTCCCATCGTAGATGGCTTCTCACGAACTTTTAAGATCCATATCGCTTCTGAGCATCATTTAAAAAAAAATCATTTTATTGGAGGCTTGTACAACTTCTTATCACAATCCGTACATCCATCCATTGTGTCAAGCACATTTGTTGCCATCATCATTCTCAAAACATTTGCTTTCTGCTTGAGCCCTTGGTATTAGCTCCTCATCCTCCCTCTCCCTTCCTGCTCCCCCCTCCCTCATGAACCCTTGATAATTTTTAACTTATTATTATTTTGTCATATCTTACACTGTCTGACGTCTCCCTTCACCCACTTTTCTGTTGTCCATCCCCCAGGGAGGAGGTTATATGTAGTTCCTTGTAACCGATTCCCCCTTTCCAACCCACCCTCCCTCCACCCTCCCGGTATTGCCATTCTCAGCACTGGTCCTGAAGGGATCATCTGTCCCGGATTCCCTGTGTTTCCAGTTCCTATCTGTACCAGTGTACAATCTCTGGTCTAGCCAGATTTGTAAGGTAGGATTGGGATAATGATTGAGGGAGGGGGGAGCATATAGGAACTAGAGGAAAGTTGTATGTTTCATCGTTGCTACCCTGCACCCTTACTGGCTCGTCTCCTCCCTGGGACCTTTCTATCTGAACATCATTTTTGTGTTGCCTTTTCATATAAAACCAAGCTGTTGTTTTTTATACTTGAGAACAGTACTCTGTGTGTGCAGGTATGCATGTGTGCACATATGTATCTTCCCTTGATATGATGGAGAACAGGCCATACCTGGCAGCTTTCAACAGCTAAAAATGAGCTTGATTGTATCTATATCTTCATCTTGTTTCATCTCACTGTAGTCAGTGTACTTGCTGGATTCTCTCCTGTATTGAACCTACTATGATTTCCCTCCCCATCTAGACCCTACATAATTGTTAAGAAACAGAAGCCCGCGGTAACAAACAAGCACATGGAAGAACTGGCTCAGGGGTACAGGTAAGTGTGCCAACCCAAACTGGAGCTCTCTAATACGCAGGCACATGCTTTCATCAGCACTCAGGTTACTTGAGCTGTGCTTTTAAGAAAATTGCATTTTCATTTTTAGTCTCTTAATTCCTCCCCACCAAATCAGCCTGTGAAAACGTTCTTTCCTGTATTAACTAGTGTGGGCATTGTAAAGTATTGATCAATGTAGATCCAAGGATTAAGTGTTTCTAGAAAGAGGAGGACTCACCTGCCATCTGTGGAAGTAGCTGGGTTGGCTTCTCAGCACACAGAGTTTCTAGTAATAGACAGTGAATGTGCTTAGACGGTGGGGAGTTGTTAGAAGTGGGAACCCCACTGGCAAGAACCACAGGCATTTTACTCGTTTGGCTAAGCAATCTGTGATCTCACTCCCGTCCAGGGGTGGTATGCTCAGGAGAGCTCCTCAGTACCCACGCGCAATGAGAAAAAAAACTTCGGGCCTAGTAAACAGAACAAAACAAACCTGTTTTTTAAGCCAGCATCTTTTGCTACTACATACATATAAAGTACTGTAGTCAAATACCTTTTAGTATTGTTTGTGTGACCAATATTTTCCCAGGAATTTTGAAGACTTCTTACATGAGAGCCTGGTTGAATACTTAGATGTAAATGAAGAAAATGACTGCAACATCGCCCTCTATGAACATACAATTACTAAGTAAGTAGCACTTCTAGTAACTTTTTCTGATTAGTGAAGGAGTTGCTGAGTGATACAAATGGTTAAGCTTGACCACAAACCAAGACTAGCAGGTTTTAACCGACCCGGAGAGCCAAAGAAGAAAGAACCTCCGTGATGTGCTGCCCATGGGGCACAGCCGTGAGAGCCCAGTGCTGCACTGCAACACACACGGTCCCTACGAGTGTGAACCAGCTTCACAGCGGGTCTGGTCGGGTTTCTGAGCATCGTCATCTTCAGTCCCATCGCACACTTTCTTAGTGGGAACTGTCAGACGTCTTCTGTTGTATCATGAATCAGAACTCACCATTCTGCCAATGCAAGAGTATCACAAAAGCGCTAGTAGATTGTCTGTAGGCTTAATTATCCCTTACATTTATGTTAGAAAGGGTTCCCTAGAGCAACAAAACCAGGACACTGATTTTATATATACTTATAGATAGATATATAACATAAGAAATAAACAGTTAATTCAGCTATGAAGTAGTACAGATGGCTCAGTGCAACTCACTTCCATGAGACAGCTAATACACTGGCAGTCCTTCAAGTCTTGAGGGCCGCCAGGTAGTCCTCTGTAGAGCAATTCAGGCTATCCGGGCACAGGCAGCAAACAGCAAGGCAGGTCACCAACAATCAGCCAGATGACAGGGTCCAACAGTCCCCAGCTCAAGTGATACATACTCCAATAGCATGGCGAAGCAGGTCTTGAGGAACCTCAAATTACAGTGACACAATCCACGGGTTAGGTGTCCCACAAGTAGTGTAGCTTACAAATCAAAGCAGAGAACAAGCTAAGGCAGCCACACACTGGTCTGTTCATCAAAGAGCAAGAGATAAGAAAGGTGAGGCTCGCTGAGCTATTTATCTCTCCGCCCTTCAATTAATCCCACGTGTTCATTGACCAGGTTGGCACAATAAACCTACCTCACCACATTCAAGTATATACTTTTAAAAGGAATTATCTGATTTTAATATGCTATTACTATCAAAATCCAGCTTATGAATCAGCTATATAAAGGTTTGTTTATCTCTTCTAAAGAGGATTTTTGTCAGAGGATATCTGAATTCTAAATGCTAATTCAAGAATTCTTCACATAGGGTAGTGTAAATATAGCCCCAAGCTTCTATGCCATATAAGCACAAGAAGGTATATGTTCTCAAAGTGGTTTTTTAGAGCATTATTTAAAAAAATATCCGTGTTCCCTTTGATGGCTGCTATATAAACTTGGTGTTTGCCACGTATAACTGATGTACTGCTGCTTGCCTGACATTTTTGCAGTTATATTGTCAGATAGGGAGTTTAATGCTTTACCTAATACCTGTCTGTATGCCTTCAAGCAAGTACAAGTAGTCTGCTACTAGATGAATAAAGGTGCTACTTTATTTGGGGCCCTTAACGAAAACAAACACACTCACTGCCATCGAGTGCATTCCGACAGGACAGGACCCTCTCGGAAACACCCCTGTGCATTTCTGTAACTCTTTGTGGGAGTAGAAAGCCTCTACTTTCTCCCACAGTGCAGCTGGTGATTTCTAACTGCTGACCTTGTGGTTAGCAGCCCAACGGGTAATCACTACACCACTGAGACTTGGGCCATTGCATAGTGCAAATTGTTAACATGCTCAGCTACTCGCTGAAAGATTGGCAGTTCAAACTCACCCAGGGCCCTCTCAGAAGTTGGACAGACAACCCCGGAAGTCACAGCCCTGCAGACCCTCGGAGCCGTTCTAACTCCACACGCCGGGTTGGCCTGAGTCAGGATGGGCTAGACTGCCACTGACGACAGCATGTTTCTTACAACGATTCCGTAGCAAGTAATGTTTTTCCGTCAGAATTATTTCTTTAAAGGGGTGAATCTTGCAAAAGTACTGTTTTTATGTCCATTTTGAGATTGAACGTAAAAGAGGACTATTTGTTAGTAAGGCAGTAAATGCCACGTCCATCCTTCTTTTTATTCATGCCACAAACCTTGATTTCAGCCTTAAGAACGCTCCTTGTCTGCACCAGATAGCTGATCTCTTAGCATATCAGGGGAACCTGCTCCCAATACCCACACTCTGAGCCCTTCGTGCCGACTCCACATACTGCCCTTGTTTAGGTTCTGCTGTTGCTTCATCAGTTCTTGCAGGAGGCCCTGACAATTCCTGCCCATGTGCCAGGCTGTCTGTTCCTAGTAGAACAGACGTGACCCAGAGAGGTCATGTCACTTCTATTCTCAAAACCCCCAGTGGCTTCCCATCTCCCTCAGCAGGCCTTACTGAGGCCTCCAGGTTCCTAAGCAAGCTGCCCACCGCCTTGATCATTGCATCAGGAGCTCACTGTCGCCGGGCTGGCCTTGCTTACTGACTCAGGTGCTCCTGGCTCACTTCTGCCCCCGGCTCCCAAGGCCCTGACTCTGCCTTCTGCATGGAGCCCTCTTCTCTCACATACTGCCTGCCTCCCGCCTTCTTCTCCTCTGGGACTTCTCCCAGATGCCACCTTCTCAGTAAATGTTGTCCTCACCACTCCCGTGGTGACCCCGGCCCTTCCCAGCTTTGCGGTGAGTGCCTTACACCAAAATCTGTATTTCGTCGATTAGTCGATGCCGTGTTTGTCTCCTTTGACTGCAAATTTCATGGAGGCAAAGGCATTTTTTTCTTTTCATTTATATTTTATAGCTCAGAATAAAACAAGGTTTGTTTCAAACATGGTGTTTTGCTTAAATACTAAGTTGACATTCCCTATATAAACAAAAGTCGTTTTTCATATACAAAAATTGAGGTAAGCTGAAAAATGGACATAAGTATACAGGATGTTTGTAGTATGTAATTAATTCAGACTTGTGAGATAAACGAAGTACGTAGACTAGAAAGACTGACCTTCTCACCTGCCCCGGGCCACCAAGTTCCACCCGCCAGAAATACGCAGTGCTCTTATTTTAGAAGTACATCATCTTCTAGATATTTTTCTGAGTGATTATAAATACACATACATGAGCCCACACAGTGTATAAAACAACGGTAACATAATTTGAGTGACTTGATTTTTAATCCTAATATATTCTGGACATTTAGTAAATGTTAGACTGCTGACTACAAGGTTAGTGGTTCAAAC